AAAGTTTTTTTTTTCAACCCAGTATCTAAATCATCTATTTGGGAACGACCAAAAGAATTAGAAAGTAACTTACAAATTGATGAAATGTTGCGTGAAGGGCCTGAACAAAAGGAAGAAGTGAAAGTTGAACCAATAGTAGAAAACAGTGTGTATTTATTTTATAATATTTTTAAATTATATATTTTTCTAACAAAAACTTCCTCAGTTGATTAACTTTTTTTTTTTTTTGAACAATTGTATTAAATGGAGGACAAGGAGTAGCAAAGTTTTGTAGTAAGTGTCATCCATAGTTAAAGTAGATGTATAATAATGAATGTGTTGCCAGTTGTATAGATCTTGCGTGTCAAACGGCTCTATTGATTGATGATTTTTAATGAATTTATTATTCCTTGATATAGCTTGTTATGAAAAAGTTAATTAAAAAAGATTAGATGGTCAGGTTAAATTTGAGTGTGGAATTTTAAAAAACAATGTTGTATCTAATGTTCAGTTTTATTGGTTATATATTACAGTTTCGAAGGTGTTTCAGATACTGGAAACAAATGTTTGTTGCTTTTTGCATGCTTCCATTTTATGATCATATTTATCTTATATTTATTATTTAATAATTTATAAAATCTTAAAACAAAAACTATTTTATTCAATTTAAATTGTCATGTTTTCAAAAAAAAAAATTTTTCAACCAATCATAAACTTGCTTATATTTTTTTGAACTTTCGAATAACAGTTAACATTAATAGTCATTAATTAATTTTATTCAAAAGAAAATATTTCATTCAAAAAAAAGTTTGTTTAAAGTTGCTTAATTTTTGAACTGTTATGAATCAACACTAGGTTTATTTTACCAATCAAAAAAAAAAAAATTTAATTTTTTTTTATTGCTTATTTATAAAAAATTAGTGCTTTTTTTAATTACCATTTTTATTATGAGATTGTTATGGTCTATATGTATGTATGTATGTATGTATGTATGTATGTATGTATGTATGTATGTATGTATGTATGTATGTATGTATGTATGTATGTAAGTATTTATGTATGTATGTATGTATGTATGTATGTATGTATGTATGTATGTATCAGGCTTGGTCAGGAAGCGGGAGCGATCGCTCTCGAATACTGACCACGGAAATTATATTTAGTTGCGTAAAACTGTCCAGGTTTTTTAGTCGTTTTGAGAACATTTAAGTTTATGTACGAAACAAAAAATTTTTGTTTTACGTACATACATGGAAACATAAAAAACTTGAATGTTCTCAAAACATCTTTTTGCGAAAGAATAAAAAGAATTTTTGCGAACACTAAAAACAAGCCAAATTAACGAACAAACAAATTCCATTGGTTCAAAAAATACGCTGATTAAGTGAAATAAAGTTCTAGAGTATTCTGTTAAAATGTTTTAGAAATTGTATTATTCACGATTTGTTACGTTTTGAGATTTTTAGCATTGTTTTTAGAATATATATTATTTGTTTATGTAAATATATGTTTTAAATATATACTAATTAAATTGTTAAAATTTTAAAAATTTATTATAAATCATAGATTTTATTAGTATATTCTTATTTTTTATTTTAAAAGAGATTGTATTCTTTATGTAAATGTAATTTTGTGTATTTGTTTTTTATCGTAATGTATCTTTTAAAGCAATTTTTATGATTTAAACAAAAATAATTGCGTTTTCAATGAAGTTATAATCGTTATAGTTAATAAAACTAATTATGTAACAAACATATAAGAAGTTTCTGGTTACTTAACACAAACAACGTATACAAAGTAACTCGCGGATGAACAAGCATCGCGCCCGAGGTCACGACAGAACACAAATATATATAGCAAATAATTAGATATAAAGAAAAATTTCTAGATATTGGTTTACTAACTCTAATTATTTTCGCTTAAGTTGCCATTCTTAAAACTCGTTATACTTTTTTCTGCTTTAAATACTAATTAAAATTTAAAAGCCCACTCACTAAACATCATCAGCGATATTGTAAAGCAGTTTCGCTTCCTGGTCATTAAGTATTTTTAACCTTTTTAGTTGGTTTCTATCTTGATAATTTATTTCTTATAGTAATTCAATGATTTAGTTATTTCATTTGTTTATCTTACTAAGAAGAATCGCTTCAAATATGTTAAACTTTTCAAACTACGCGAAACATAAAATAGGTATTAAAAAAATTAACTTTTTTGTTTATAAAATAAATTAAGCTTAAGTAAAACTAAAACTTGCAAACTTAGTTAAATAAAGAATATTTGTTTCCTTTTTAAACAATTGTTTAAGTTGACGGTTGTATGTTTCTATAAAAAGTTGATGTTTCTATAAAAAACATCGCTTAATTTTATAAAAAAAATTATAAAAGAGCGATGTTTCGAAAATATTTGTTCTAAATGTAATTTATTTAGCTTTACATTTTTTCGTGTTTAAAAATATTTTATTTGCCTGTTTTTTTTTTTTTTTGTAATTGTCTCTCATCGGTCCAATTAATCTTCGCTTTTTTTTTTTGCTTTTTAAAATGTTCTCAAAACGACTAAAAAATCTGGCCAGCTTTTCGCAACTAAATATTATTTACGTGGTCAGCAATCGAGAGCGATCGCTCCCGCTTCCCGACCAAGCCTGATGTATGTATGTATGTATATTGCTGTTATATTTTTTTTCTTTTTTTTTTAAAGAAGAATCTTCAGAAAATCAAAATGAGGAACCTTCTGTCAAGAAAATAAAGTATTTTTTTAAAAACATTTGTGTAAATTTCTTATATTATAGATCTAAAAATTGTCATTTTATAAATGCATTTAAAAAATTATTCTCTCTTATTTTCACTTAAACAAATGTTCATGTTTTAGACTAGAACTTGAAGATAACGTTGAGAAAGTTCAACAGGCTGTTGAAGAGGAGCCTGAAACAAATGAGGAAGATGAAGAACAAGCTAAATTAAAACTTGAGGCTGAAGTTAAAAAAGCTATTATTCCTTTAGATGAAAGAATGATTATGTTTAGTAATCTGCTTCGCGAGAAAGAGGTTCGAAGAATTTCAGTTTATTGATCTTTTATTATAAGACATAAATATATAATACTTAAGCAGATTTTTAATATCTTAATACGTAGCACATTTAAGTTCAGAAATTAAATTATTAAATTATAAAATAACTAATTTGTTTTAATCTCCTTGTTTTTGTACTCCCTCTCATTGGATATTTATTAATGCCTTTTTTCCAAATGTTGTTCATCTTCTGTCTTTATCTCAAGATTTTCATGTCATATGACTTGTCATAAGACATGTGTAGACATGTATAAAGTATTTTTTATAATTAAAAAATACTTTATACATGTCTACTCATAAAAAGTTAAAATTCAAAAAATGTAAATAAATTGTTTAAATCTTATAATAGTAAACAATTTATATAAAAATCTCCAAAAATATCAAACAATCGTGATATAAATTGACTTTATTGCAAGGGTTGAATTAAGCGATTGCAAAATGAAAAATCCGGAATAATATCTGGTCTTCAAAATTTTTGTTTATGCAAAACCGTGTTTTTTTTTTTTTTCAAGGAGCGAATTATCTTAAATTTGTTATCAAAAAAGTTTTGAAAAACAAAACAATAAACTTATGACATCAAAAGTAATAACACTCAAGTAACTAACTGCATTATAAAAGTAATAACACCATAATAGTGTTATAACACGCTTTTAACTTTTATGATTCATTCTTTGTTCAAGCAACATAAGTAATCTTAAATTTTAATCAAATTAGAAAAGCATTTAGAAAAATAGAGTAGATATTCAAATAACATTAAAAACTTATTAAGGAACTTAACTTTATAAAAACGTATCGTATAAAAAGTTTAGCATTATGAAAAACGTTACTAACAGTCCGTAAAAACGCGCGTTAATTTTAAAATTAACCGATGCAAAATTTTAATTGGTTGATTTTAAAATTAATATGCGTTTTTACGGACAATTAGTAACATTTTTCATAATGCTAAACTTTTTCCAAAGAACGTTTATATAAAGTTGTTTAAGTGTATTTGTAAAAGTTCCTGAAGTTTTCAATAAAATTTGAATATCCACTTAATTTTTTCTAAATGCTTTTCTACTTTAACTAAAGTTTAGAATTACTAATGTTGTTTGAACAAAGAATGAACTTTAAAAGTTATAAGTGCTTTATAAAAGTAATAACACTATTATAGTTTTATTACTTTTATAATGCAGTTAGTGACTAGAGTGTCATTACTTTTGATGTCATAAGTTTATTGTTTTGTTTTTTATAACTTTTTTGCTTACAAACTTATAATAATTTGTTCCTTAAAAAACAAACTAAACGACTTAGCATAAACTAAAATTTTGAAAACCAGATATTTTTCTAGATTTTTGGTTTTGGGATTGCTTAATTCAACCCTTGTTATTGCTTAGTATTAAAAAAACTTTCAACAGTGTTCACATATAAGCAGAAGATGAAACCAGTAAAAAAAATATTTTTAGTCGGCTACAACTTCTTTTAGAATACCCAGGGAAAAAATTTTTTATTTATTTTTAAAACAGATGGTCAATAAAAAATTAAATAAAATTTTTATAGTAGTTATATTAATTTTTATAGACTGCAAATTTTAGAGACTAATGTAACTTTCATAAATTTTATAGATTTTTATAACTGCTGTAAAAAGTCTTGTATATTTGACTTTTTTTGACATATATTTATATAGAAAAAATGGATTTAGTTACATATTTATAGAAATAATTTCTAATTTTTCTACTTATCTTGCCTATTCTCTGTATCTTAATGCCCAAATCATCTTAATCCTGACCCTGAGATACCTTGACAGGTGTCTCAGGGTCAAGATTAAGATTCACCCAAGCATATTTTTTTTCTCATGAAGATTTAGTGGTATTGCTATGTATGTTTGTGTGTTTGTGTATGCACACACACTCTTGTATGTTTGTGTGTTTGTGTATGCACACACTTGCTGTGTCTATATTTTTTTAAGTTTTTAAAATTACTC